CCAACTGCCCCAAGTGTGGCTTTCATCGTGGCTCCCTGATCCACCTGCTTTGGAGATGCCCTAAGCTGGTTCAGTATTGGGATCAGGTTGTAGATACCCTCAACCTTGTATTTTCATCCTCAGTGACTAACTCCCTATTGACGTGTATACTGGGCATTGTGGAATCCGATGATCTTACGCATCGCACTGCTATAGCACTTAAGCGGGCCTTATTTACCGCAACCAGGATGGTGGTTCGTAAATGGATCTCCCCGTCACCTCCACATTGAACTTGTGGATAGCTGAACTGGATAGGATGGTAGCGTACGAGAGGGTTACTTTTAAACAGAGGGATACCTTGCCTAAGTTCCACTCTATTTGGGACGACTGGCTGACGTACCGGGGTCATGACCTCTCTGATTAACCGGCTTGCACGCATTCTCACGGTGGATACATACAGCTAGTCTTGGCTTCTATTGCATGTAGTCATGTGTTCGCAGCAAAGGGTGCTGGTTCCCCGCACAGTGGTTTATAGGGTTTATATCTCTTGGTGGGCTTGGTTTAGTCTATGTTTAATATAAGCCCACTCAAGTGGTCAGCATATTCTTGTCGAATTTCACTATCTGCACACATTATGCTCCCCTTCCCTCCCTCCCCCTCTTGGATTATTTGTCTGTTGGCTTGCTACTGGTTTTTGTTTTTGGTTTCTTTTTTGTTTTTTGTTTTTGTGTTTGCCTACTGTACGTGTAAAATGTGTAAAATCAATAAAAACTATCTGATTTAAAAAAAAAAAAAAAAGAAGCGATGAAGGTGATGGCAGAGACTGGTTTTAAATTGCTGACCATATTTTTTAACTTAAAGTGACACTAAACTCAGAAGTTAAAACCTAAAAATGCATTCAAGTACCTGAATTATTAACAAAAATGTAACTTACTTGTGTATCACTCGGCTGTAGATCATCAAATCATCTCTGAATTGGTGCTGACACTGTCCTTCCTTCTGGAGGGGGGCTACTTGTGTTCCCCATGGTCCCTGTGTGTGTTGTAAAGTAGTCACCGCTCCCAGCTCACTCCCGGGATGGATTACAATCTCAATACAAATTAGTAAACTAAACATGAGATTGTAGTCCATCACAGGAGTGAGCTTGGAGCGGTGACTACTTTACAACACACAGGGACCATGGGGGAACAAAAGTAGCCCCCCTCCAGAAGGAAGGACAGTGTCAGCACCAATTCAGAGGTGATTTAAAAATTTACAGCCGAGTGATACACAAATAAGATGTGTTTCTGTTAATAATTAAGGTACTTGAAAGCATTTTTAAGGTTTAACTCCTGAGTTTAGAGTCACTTTAAAATGGATAGATGGAACTTTATCAAGAGACCTACAGTGATTTCTGGTCCCTGTATGTGAAGAGAAAGGCAATGGCAGCTCCAAAATGGCCAAGATGGCAGGCATCGTTTCATGGAAGTCCAAGGGACAAGACAGAAGACATGGATGACATACCAGCAGAAGCCATGAAAACAATACCAGACTTGTTCCAAATTGCTGACCGGCTTTTTTAACTTAACATGGATAGATGGAACTTTATCATAAGATCTACAGTGATTTATGGTCCCTGTGTGAAAAGAGAAATGCAACAAAATGGGCATGTAAAACTTGTGTGCAGATATCATTATGTAGCCACGTTAGTTAAATTTACCTATACATTCCTATAGTTATCCTTATGTTACCCCCCACCCCGACACCAACTCCCCCCTCCACCCCAAAGTCATATACTCACCTGTCTATAATCCTGTCATGCTGTGTGGACCAAGGAGAGCCACACAGCTGCCAATGCAAACTCTTCCTTCTTCTATGCATGCATGGGGACATTCTATACATTCATATGGAAAGGACATCTATGGGCTAAATAATAGATAGAAGGAAATGGGATTGCAGAGAAGAAGTGGTGGGCTGGGTGGGAGAAATTGCAGTGCTGTCGGTTAAGCTCTCTATGGCCTGCACTGTGTGGATCTGGATGGAGCTTGGTCTTGTTACTATAGGACTACTGTGTGTGTGTTTGTGTGTGGGGATTAGTTAAATTTAAGGAAGCAATATAAATGTGTAGTTATCCTTTAAATGTTTATAAACACTCAGGGTAAGCAAGCCAGTGTTACAGCAGAAGGCCACATTTATCAGTGCCCGGTTTGGATTTAGAAAAGACAGAGATGGTAATGGTGTAATGACTATTGGGCCTCATCTTTACTGCTTAAGGGCTTTTGTTTGCATGATTTTCTTCCCCATACAAGTCAATATAAATGCAAAACCACTTTCAAGCAGTTCAATGCAACTCAGAATCAACTTGAAACAACTCCTTGAGCAAATGGGAGGCCATCCAAAGCAACTTAAACCTAAGCATCTGAGAGCATACTTCAATTGACTCGTTTTGGAATCTGAAGCCTGTCTACACAAGCCCTAAGAGAAAACCTTAGGAATAATGGAAAAATATGGGACCCATGGAAAACATGGACAACTACAGAGAGCATAATTGTGAGGGACACTCACATCATGAGGCAGGAATAATGAACATTGACCATCAAAGTTTGGAACATTAATGCAAGCTTCAAAAGTATAAAAGGATCTAAACCAAAACAACAACAAAAATCAAGTCAATCAAATCATGGGCTATTCTGTACTTGCTGAAAATGTTCTTAGCCTAAAATAATGAACATAAATGCAGCCGCCACATCTGAGGACTGGTAAGCTGCAATATATTATATCTTCTAGGGTTTAGATATCCTTTCATTCAAAATCTTGACCTCTCCCAGTACTCGTACTTTACTCTCACTATGTTATATACACTGCCTTGTTCGCCCACGATGTTCACTTTGGTAAAGCATTTCGGTGAATTGAATGACAGTTCGGAGTGCAAGATAAAGTCTGAAGGCTGCTGTTCGAGCTTTCTGCTCAAGCAAAACTACAAATAACGCACTAAAACTCTTTTCACACTCCGCCAATTACGAGAACTTCAAAATGAAAGAAAGCATCCAAGAAGCAAAAGAGAATGTTCTTGCATTTTGGAAACTTTGTTCAGTTCAAAAACTCTGCTAAGCTCTGTTTGCTACAGTGACCCAATAACAGTACCACCAATGCAGTTTCAAGAAAACAACATTTTCAATAAAAAAAAAAAACAGTTTGTGTTTATACAGCTAGAAAGATATCAGAATGAATTAAGAAAGGGAAAATGGTAATGAATAAAATGAACACACAGCAAATGTTTCAAAAGCTGAAAATGTTGTAGTGAAGAACTAGCGCTAGAAAGAAGAACTGGTGGTCACAACTCACAACACAATGGTCATACTACCGTATTTCACCAGCAAGTGATGCTGCATGTGAATTATTTTATTTTATTTGTTTGTAGTTTCCATAAAAATGCAGAAATCTGTGCTGTAGAGGAAAGCTGAAGGTACACACAGGCCCACTATGGTATCTATGTGGCTGTTTATGTGTTAACCCCTTCATGACTGAGGCCCTTTTTTCAATTTTTGCACCCATGTTATATTCCACATTTTAGGCCTGAAAATGACGTAAAACCCCCCAACATTATATATTTTCTGAATGCCAAGACCCTATAGAAATGAGGAGAGTGATTTACACTCATCCTCATAGTTAGAGCCAATTTGTGACATTGAAACCGTCACACTTCGATTCTATAGAACGGGAAGTGAGCAAACACGTACAGTCACTCGCTCACTTCCCGATCATCTCCCTGCAGAGAGCGGTGACTGTCAGTCACTGCTCCCCACGGGGATTCCCCCCTCCCCTCTCCAAACCTCCAGCACTGACTGGAGGAACAGACAGGCAAGGGGGCATGCACAGCTGGTTCTGCCTCTAGATAGGCAGAGCCCGCTGTCAAAAAAACAGCTGGGTGGATCTCAACAGTATTGTCAGGATCTGTCCTGACTGCAGCGCTCTCAGTATATAGTGGGCAATAGTCTGCTATATACTGACCTTTGGGTCACGGGAGGACGTTAGTATATGTCCTCCCGTGACCCTAAAGAGGACTATGCGATAAGAAGGTTACCTCATAGTTCTCTTTTAAGGGCTAGTTTTGTCTAGGGGACTCAAAGAACATATACTCACCTGATTCTTGGTCCCACCAGGCTTCTAGACTGGTTCTCGCAGCCTCTACTCCCCTGGGATCCGGCTGTCTAAGGACCCCCTGATGTCATCACATCTAATGCAGGTCCACTGACTTGCATTAGATGGGAGGAGGCCAAGCGACATTCCACCGCCAGAACAGAGGCGGAGAGAGCTGAGTGCTGACCAAGGATCAGGCAAGTAAATCTGCTTTATTTGACTCCCCTAGACAAAATGAGAACTTAACCCTTGCAGTGTGGAGGGAGCCCCACTGCAGGGGTAAGTTTTTAAATATACTGGAATTATTCTTTAAAGTGCACCTATGGCCACTCTTTGGACACCAAATTAATTACAAGGGCATAACAAGCATTGCAATAATTATCAAAGAAAAAAACCCTAATCCCCAACAAGCAGGCTCATGACAGTTATACAATCTGGAATGTTACTACCAGATCAACTTGCATTCATGTCACTCTGTCTGACTGACCTGCTAGCCTCTTCCTCTCTCTCCCTCCCATCTGTGATGCTGCAGCGTATTTATCTCTGCTTGTAATTTTGCATAATCATGCTGGCAGACTCCCAAGAACTGCAGGGAGGTAACATTCATATTCTGGAGGTGATTCCCCTAGGGGGAACTAAGGGCCAAGTGCACGAACACAATATCACCCATCACTGCACTCTCCAGGTCCATCAGTGATGGCAGCACATTGCAGAGCCCCAAGAGGAAACCAGTTGACACACTGTTCATGTAACACAGCTCAAAAACTCACAGTCCGAATTAAAACACTTGTTCCAAGTAAATAGACTGATTAGCTATATCGGAGATTTGATAATCTTTGCCTCCTCATTTGCATATTAAAACAACAGCAGTCACTACTTATTACAATATAATCAGATCTTACCTTGCCCACGATTTTTGGAAATGGTGTTCGCTGGTTCTCTGCAATTGCGATCGGAGGTGCCACAATTGACCTCCTATGTCTCAAAAGTGAAAGATGTCTGGGTACTTTAAGCATGTTCTGAAAGATAACAATCAAAAGGCACATTTAAAAGTGATGTATGCTAATGTTCGTGTTTTTATTCTCAAAAAGAAGAAAAGTTCCAAAAAATTGGCTACCAGGATCCGACTGCTAAGGACATTGAAGGTTTTTTTTTATATCTAAGTTTTTGGATTTAGAGAATAAGTGCACTCAACTGCATTTTATTCATCTTTGCTTAATAGGAGATTGAAAGAACTCATCCAAAATGTTCAACTTGTTAAACCAATGTTCCAAAAGTCAGATTATCTGATGCAACCGTCTTTCCCTCTTTACACAGTGAAGTCTGTGAGCATTAGCTCCAAACGGTAGCGCATTAAGGAGTCTTCCACTCACTTACTTCTTTGTAAGGGCTCCTTTGCCCACTTTTATTGACTGGAAAAAAAAAAGGATTTCCCTCACAGGTGTTTTCAAACAAAATAAAGCTTTTTTCCTTCCACAACACAACATTTGTAAAGTCTCTCCGACTGCAGGCGTTTCTCCAACAAAACTTCTGGCAACACAGGCTGCTTCTCCTCAATTGGCCACACAGGCTCATCTTCACCACACAGGTGATCTGCTCCCCAGTCTTCCAGACACACAGTCTGGTTCTAGCGTGGAGCTGCTTCCTTAGGAGGCTGGGAGTTCTTGTAGAGGCCTTAACAAGCCACCTAGCTTCAGCTGGGCTTGTTACCTCCAAGCCTCCAGCCCTCTCAGCACGTCCCCCTAGAGGACAACCTTTAGTATAACATCTGAATCTAGGGCATACAACTCCGCCATCCTGGCTAGACTCAGCCTGCTGCCACTGGTCTTAAAGAATAATTGGAATTGTGCAACAAATTTACTCTGCGTATAATACCTTTTTATATTAACTGCCAGCACTCAACACTCAGCAACCCTCTGATAGTTCTACTGATTACTTCCTTGCCGCAATCAAAGACTGTAAACTATTGGCCTAATTGGCTTGCCATGCTTTGGAACCTTAAAGTGTTCATGGCATGATGAACATCAGGTCCTCAAGTTGACCAACCATGATCAAGTAAAACAGTCAAGGACAAAGTTCCCTCCAATAAATAATGTTCTCATTTTAGATAAATGTCTCAACATCATTTTTTTTCTCCTGCTCTTAGCAAATCTTCAGGGATGCTCATACAATTGGCGCATTTAAATAAATAATCAGTTAGGAATCAGAAAACTGGTTACACTACTCCTGGCGGGAGAAGCTTCATTACAACTTGTCATGAGATTAAACAAGAAAGCTGTAAACATATTGATCTGCCTTAAGAAACATTTAAGACTATCTGAAAGGTGGGCCCTTCCGGAGCTCATTATTAGTTACAAAGGGAGAGGCTGCCTTCTTGGTGATTTAGAGACTCGGCTAAATTAGTCTTGATGGTGTCAAGCTGTCTCCACTGAGGACATGGAAAAATAAAGTCAAATGACTGGCCAGTGCAGCATTGATCTTGTCAAAGTGTTTCAAAGAGTTGTTTTCAAAAGCTTTTACAAGCACCATCCAAAATGTTTTTCCTGTCACTGGAAAAAAAATTGGTGCCCACTTATTACTATTATTTTTATTTTCAGCTGCCATAGTTTTGCACAGGACAAAAAGTACTGCCTATGTAATCACAGTGACAAGGACTTTTGGAGTATGCTGTGAATATTGCTGTTTACAAGAGGAAGCTTTCTAGCACAAAGAGAACATTCCAGAATGTTCCTCGTACCAAGGGGACACATTTTAATAGCTGGGAACAGAATTACACTAAGCCAGGGAGAGTTGTGTCTTTCTGATAGGATGACATGTGGAGCGTCAGGCTGGTCTTAAAATATATACAACTCTTCTGCTACAGAGAACCTTCTGTCCATTTAACTTTCTTTAGATACTCAAGGTGGATTGGTTGCCAGAACAGTAAAGTAGATGCAAACCAAATCAAAGTCACATACAATCGTTCTCATGTTAATGTCATTTCAAAAGTCATTTTCAATCAGAGCCGTAGCTAGCTCCTTTTGCGTCCCGAGGCAACATAACAGACGCGTGATGTCATGCGCCCCACCTCCAGTATGGTGGCCAAATTCAAAATAGCACTGAAGCCGGCCGAGCGGTGAGGAGAGAGAGAGAGCCACCGTCTGTCAGATCCTATCCGAGCAGCTCTCTCCTCACCACTCGGCCATCCTGGATGACAGCACCCTCCTCTCCCTCTCTTATCCCCCCCCCACCCCCCCCCACCGGCTGCAGTGCTCCATTTCTCATCAGATCCTCGCTGCCTCTGCCCATACTGGTGGGGGAGAGCAGAGGTGTCCGAGGGGAAGCTGTAGCCTGTGCTGCCCCTCTTCTCCCTGCCGAGCCGTGGCTGCAGGGGCTCCAGGCGGCCAACAAAATGGGCCCCAGGCGGCCAATAGGGGCAAGGGGGCGCAGCTAAGCCGGCCCTGGCTGCGCTCCCTCTCAGCTGCGCATGAGGTGAGTGCCTCACTCGACCCATGGTAGCTACAGCCCTGTTTTCAATATTTTAATACATGGTGATCCTGCCATGCAAGTCCTTGTTTAGGGGAGACACTGCTCTGTCCCTGTCTCCCAACTGGGCGCCTGTATAGTCGCCCTACCCCACGGGCTTCTGATGGAGACTACAAGTGTCTGTTTCATCATACATTGCACAAACCACAAGATGTTCTCAATGTGTAGCACTGTGACCGTATTTACCAGGACATGCCAAATGAGAGGTCCACATTGTAATGTGCATTGGCCTAGCCTAGCTGCCTAACCGTTGCGCGGCAAATCGCCTGAATGATATATGATGTCAGATGATATGTGTTAAGTTATATGTGCTATGTGTGATCACAATGTATGCCTTTGATATGTTTGATATGTTCAACAAAATAAAAACTTTTAAATGAAAAAAAAAAAAAGTCATACATTGCACTGGCATGGTCCCTTGTTGTCACCAACAGGAAACACTCCCTCGGAAATGCCATGCAGCCATCATTGCTGGCTGCCTCTGTCCTAACACACAATGACAATACTGGTTGCTAGGACATTGGTGACCAACCAGCACAGCACCTTGGCTGTTATCATGATGATGTGAAAAAACATTTCCTCAGGCTGGTTTGCTGAAAGATTACACAATTGTAATTTAATCTTGACAGCAACCCTGACAAAACCAGAGTGCACCCCAGTTGGGAAAGGCAACTATAGACAAGCCAAGACAAGCCAAGAACTCCAAAGTTGGGGAATCCCCACACCATTTTGGTTCTGGTGACAACTTAAAATGTTCGCTTTCCCTCACTTTGAGTCCCAGCCACAATGGTCACCAGGACAAATAGAAACCATGAGTCTCCTTAGCGGGGGTCAAAGGAAGCAAAAGTTTTGCTTTTAGATATATCTTAGATATAAGAGTACAAGTCCTGCCTAAGAGTAATCACTAAGGTGTAAAACTCTTATATGTGCCTTTCTAAAACTAGTTTAGCTTTGTGAATAAGGGCCCAACTTCAAGGATAAGCCTCAGCTGTCCAGAGAGAGCACATATGTGACCAATAAGGGAACTCTCACTGGACAAGGATATAGAGTTTGGTTGAGCTTAGCCCTCTAGTCAATGAAGATAGGCTCTAGGTACAAAGTGAAACTAGCTTCAGAGAGGCACAAACCGAAGGGCTTTCTGGCTAGGAAAAGCAAACGTGATTACCTTGCTTTGCCTGGAGTTCCACTTAAAACACAAAGCCTAGTTGCACTAAACCTTGGGATTGTGTAAAGTCATTTATGTTTTCTGACACCAACAATGTATTTTTTTTAAAGCTTACAAAGCCATATTACCTTTCAATTTCTTTTTAAGCCGCACAGAACTGTATCATTTCTCCTCTTTCAATAACAGCATAGAGAGAGATTAAATTGCATTCTTATCATTCTCTGAGATCCCTGGCAGTACAATCGTAAAGCCATTAAAACACACACTCTAAAATCCAGCGGTAAAGCCTTGGTAGTTACAAACAAGTACACAATGCCTCTAGTCTTGCCTTGCTGCCTCCTTTCTGAAACTTGCACAACAAGAAAGGTGGAGGATGTTGTGACCACAGAAATGTCCAAAGAGGACTTGTCACCCAGCAACTTTGTTTTAAAGGATAATTCTAAAAAAAAATTGTATTCTGGTAACTGTATTGGGGTTAAAGGTGACCTTCACCCCACCTCCATCCTCGCCTCTCCTTAAAATACAGCTAGCTAGGAGAAATTAATATTTTTTTTTTATAGAGGGGAGCAGTCCTCCACTTCCTGATTACTCACCTAAAGGAGGAGGACATAGAATCATCCTCCAATGCCTTATGAGATGTCTATTTCATACATACCAGGAGGCAGTACTTCAGTGGGGGCAGCGAGATCCCTCATCTGCGCAGACGTGCCACTGATCTTCACTGGGTTCCAAACACCTAGAAGTGACCTTCCAAGTGTTTGGGACTTGGCTTAGACACCCAACATTTCTGTGCATGTGCAGGTTCCACATGTCTGCAGACGTGTCGTAGCTCTCAGCCAGCTCCAAAATATCTAACAGAGCCCCACGACATGTGTGGACACACCAAATAACCTCAAGGTGACCGCGTGGGAGCACAGCAGCACAAGGTAAACGTTAGCTTCAAGGTGGACAACGTTAGACTCTATGGACTAGTAAGCATATTTTATTAATCCCACACAAGGACAATCATTAGATGGGAATAAAGTGAAGTGAAGAGTGAAGCTCCTCTTTAATAAATGTATTCAATTAACCCCTTCATGACTGAGGCCCTTTTTTCAATTTTTGCACCCATGTTATATTCCACATTTTAGGCCTGATAGTTTCTTTTTTTATTTTGCAGGTCTTTTTTATATTTTGTTTCCACTTTTACAGGTAGATCAAGATGTGTTGGGACAAACCAAATAATACTATTGGTGGGGCTTTTTTCTTTTTTTTTTGGCAAGCTTTATGTGAAGTAACATGTCCTGAGTGGACATACTTCACTGTAATGGCTTGTGATACATTGTGTTA